GGACTTATTTCAATCCTCTCTTCCTGTTTAACAACGCAACTAATGGAAGAAAAAGCACAATGTTGTCTGAGCAGGTATTATACAAACTAGCAATGCCAGTTCAGTCCATGCATGCAAATGCAAGAGGCAACTGTGGAGGTGTATCCAGATGAACATCTGTATTTGCACTTTATGAAAGATTGATTGTGTACATGGGTACCTCTTCCTAGATCAGGACCACATGCTATTCCTACACTTCAATTTATACTTCTTTTATTCTGAATCAGGTAGACTCCAGATCTCACTGATAAGAGTAACCACATAAGCCACACACATCAGGCTTTATTTTTCCTCCCCAGAATGATATAGAGTTAGGCTTTCAACTGTTTTGGGGAACTGATTGCAGAAGCAGACACCATTTGTGAAAGCTTATTGATGTGCTTTGTTTTTTGTTGTTGTTGTTTTTGTATCAGGAATGACTGATACAAAACTGCAAGTCACTTCTGGTGTGAGAGAATTGGCTATCTGCAAGGATGTTGCCCAGGAGACGCAGGGATGTTTTATCACCCTATGGGAAGCTTCTCTCATGTTCTCGCATGAGATGCTGGAGCTGACAGATGGGAGCCCACCCTGCTCCCTGGATTCAAACCGCCGACCTTTCGGCCAGCAGTCCTATCAGCACAACGGTTTAACCCATTGTGCCACTGGAGGTTTGGTAAACAACTGAAAACATCTTTATAGTTATAACTCTATATTTATTATTTGAAAATTTCAGGCTTACAATGATTAAAATGTCAAACTGAATGCCACTACCTTGCCTTCTCAATTAACTTTGTAACTCAACTGAAATAACCAAATGGATGCAATGTTGTTCTATGCAAAAGCTGTGCTGGTACTCTTAACTCCTTGTCCAAGCATATAGCTCTTCAAATGCCATCTTTAGCTCTAGCACCAGCAACAACATCTGATAGCAATTGAAGGGTAGGGCCAAAGCTGAATGTTGTTGTTACAGTATATTGACCTATATACTCATTATAAATCTAGACATTTTATTCAAAAATCAACCCTAAAACTTGGCTTGACTTATGCATGGGTCAATATAAGTCATATACCTTAACTCTTATCAAAAAGGAAACACTTGTTTTCTGAGTAGTGTGGACAAAGCTTACCAGACCTCTTCAACCTGTGGCTCTCCAGGTGTTTGTGCATCCAACTCCTAAAAGCCCTAGCCAGCTTGGAGGGCCTCAGGCTAGTAGTCCATCCTGGAGAACCTAAAAGATGCACTGATACTTCTACTATTTTAACCACTGCACTGATCCTGGTTTTTTTTAATGCCTGAGTCAGAAAATAGCAGTGACAGTCAGGGTCAACTGGCCCCCTGAGGCAACACTGGCGCTTTCCCATCTTTAGAATTACCTTCAACTTTTCCACAGATCATATGCAAATCAGAAATTTGACTCTAAAACCTGCTCCTGAGATCAACTTATACTCGATTATGTGTGTTAGTTTGGGGTTTAGTTTTTAGTGATATGCCCTTGATCCTGCTTTATAACCTTAAAATACTCCAGTAAATACTCATAGATGTGTGGTCCCTCAAGGATCGGTATTATGTATTATTATCTGTCGGATACATGAGCACTCTTGTTTTAGTCCTCAACCTCCCATAGACAACTGATAGGCTATTGTGTGAACAGAATTCTGGATTAGATAGGCTCTTCTTACATGGATCTTTTTCGAGTCTAGTGACCTAACATCAATTAAGATCTGATTAGAGTTAAAACACAATATCAACATACCTTTCCTAAGGCCTTTGTTCTGCCTCTTGCAGCCTGAAAACCTCAACTGATGAACAAATTACAAAATAAAATCAGAGAAGGTTCTTAGCTTAGTGTGCACATTGAATCCAGACATCTCTAAAACAAGGACATAAAAGAATTACAGAGCTCCTGTTAATAACTAATTGTCACAAATGGATAGATCTGTAAAATATATGTTTGTGGTAGTATCACCATCATAATCGTCATCATCATCATCCCCTGCTTTTTTCTCTGAAATCCAAAGTGCCTCAAAAATGTTAAAAAAACCCAAAACTATTTAAAAACCTATGAATATAAATATTAAAATAGAATTAATTATTGCCATTACTGAAACAAATAAAACAACATAAAACAAGTAAATATAACACTATCAAAAACAACTCAAATACCATACAGCACCCTCTGGCCTGTTTTTTTCTGTTTTAAAACCCTGTTCTGCATAAAAAGGTTTTAGCCTATCATTGGAAGAACAACATGGAGGGGACCTTTCTAACTTCCATAGGCAGGGTGTACTAGAGTCCAGGAATAGCTTCTGAGAAGGGCTATTGCTAACATCCCCATAAGCCAGGCTTGCAATGACACTGAGACCTCTCCTGGGGATCTTAGAGTCGGGGCAGGTTCCTATAGGGAGATATGATCTTCCAAATGACTTGGACATGAACCATATAGAGCTTTGTAGGTCATAACCAGCACTTGGAATTGTGCCCAGAAACAAACTGAGAGCCAATGGAGTTGTTTCAACAAGAGAGGTATTTGCTCCCTGTAGCCAGGCCCAGTTAACAATCTAGCTGCACTCATTGGATCAGCTGAAGTTTCTGAACACTCTTGCAAGGCAGTTTCAAGTAGAATAAATACAGTAATTCAAATGGGATATAAATAAGGCATGTACTTTCTTGGACAGATCTGGCATCTTAAAAAAGAGGTACAGCTGGTGCTTAGATTTTAAATGTGAGAAGGCACTCCTGGCATTTGCAGAAATCTGGGCCTCCAGATTCAATCCTGAGTACATTCAAACTGTGAACCTGTGTCTTCTGAGGGAATGTAACCCCATCTAACATAGTTTGAATCCATATTCCCTTGACTGCCTTCTGACTGACCAGGAGTACCTCTGTTTTGTCTAGATTAAGGTTCAAAGTCTTTACCTTCATTCACTTCCTTACTGATGACGGACACTGGTTTGGTACCAGTACAGCCTCCTTGGCTTGGAGCAGGAAAAAGTCGTAAAGTTGGGTACCATCTGCATATAGCTGGCACTGCTTTCCAGAACTCCAGATGATCTCTCCAGTGGTTTCATGTATATGTTAAATTTAACATATGCTATTTAACATATACATGAAACCACTGGGGGAATAGATCATTGAGGAACAGTGCAAGCCAATAGACAGGCCAATGGCCATAGGCTGGATGTACTCTGCCATATGATGCAGTTTCAGAAGGCATTGAACTAGATTATATGAGTATACACTACCATATAATCCAGTTCAAAGCAGTCAATCTGTATTCTGAAACTGCAGAATGTGGCAGTGTAGATCCAGCCACAGAGGAGTCCTCAGCACCACCCTTTTTGAGTTTGTCCTCCCGGGAAGTAATGGCAGTCCTGTAAAATAGTGCCTTCAATTCCCATTTCAGCAAGGTGGCCCAAAGTAATATGTATTGGAATTGAAAGCTGCTGAAAGGTACAGTATAACCCAAAGGAACATGCTTCACCTATCCAGTTCCTGTGTAGGTATCCATCAAGGTGACCAAAGTTGTCCCACAACCAAATTGAAATAGACCTAGATCTGTTTAATCCAAAAATTCCTGGTGTTTGGGGGACATAACATGCTCAAATCCTTTGCCCAAGAATGGAAGCTTAGACAACTCCCATTTTGGGGCAAAGGCTGATATTTGCCTGTTATTTAGGAGTTCGGGGATGCCCTTTTTAATACAGGGCTTACATCTTTTAGGCAAGTTGGAATTCTGCCTTTTTCTAAGGTGGCACCTTTTCCTTAATCTTCAAATTCATTCCAGATAGGTTCTGTGTAGTAGGGCTTTTTAATGAAAAAAAAAAACCTGTCATTTTTGGTGCATTTTTTGTTTAAAGTTGAGTCTACACCACAGGTGGAAGTTGTGTGGTGACCACAATGTTGCTGTATTCTTAATCTGCTGCTTTTATAATTAAAAGAAGCTTAAAATGGTGAACAGTGTTAAAAACAATACAATGTACAATTTAAAACTTAAGGCATATAAAAAACTACAACACAATTAAACCTAGGACTATTAAAAATTGAAAAAAATAGTTAAAAGCATTAAAACCGTGAAACCCTATTAAAATGCATAAAACAACACTGGTTCAGTTTTAAAACATTCCTCTTTAAAAGCCTGCCTGAATTGAAAGGTTTTAGCTTGCCACCAGAAGGAAAGAGGGAGGGGTCACTCTTGCTTCCTTAGCAAGAGAGTTCCAGAGAAGTGCAAGATGTTGAAGTGGAAGTTTCATCATTACCTTTGGCTTTGCTGGCTACTTCCAATGGCCACTGCAGTCCAACAGCATCTAGTAGGCTGCACACAACCCACCCGGGCTATGTAGACTTTATAAATAAGCACATTTTGGCTGGTGCATTTTTCTGTTTCACAAAACACAAACCTGTTCCTAAACTGTGTGGTTTTTTGTATACAAAGTTGATTTAGTCTGCACCCTTTTTTGAGTGGTACAAATCACATATTTCTGCAATAATAAATGAAAGCACAAATAAAATCTGACTGAGTAGCTTCTTCACATGTCCCAGAAAAACATCACTAATCAAGAAATATCTGGTAATCCAAAGTAATGAGAAGGAACACCAGATTAAGGAAAGTTGTGGAGTCTGTTTTATGTATGGGAGTTGTTTTAGTTTCATTTACTGTAATAAGCTAGACAATCAAGGAGGCAAGGAATAGGCAGGGTGGCATGGCTAGAGGCAGAGGCCTTCAACAGGTAGAGAAGAACAGGTTGGCCTCAGCTGGAGGCTCATTCCTCTGGTATTTCTTATTGCTAGTTTGGTGGGATTCTATGAAACCAAAAATAATTCATCCTAAGTGTCTGAGGAGTGAAGGGGAAGCCTTAGGGCCCAATTTGTCCATCCTCTTCCTCCCCCCAGCATTTCAGTAGGGGAGGGGAACACTGAAATGAGAAAAAGCACGTTCCACAAGTCCCTTTCAGGACAAGCCCTATTAAATTTGGCAGGAGAGCTGAATTAACAACCAGCTTTTTACCTTAGTTAGTCAAAGCAAAAAAGAGACAAGGAAGAAGAAAGTTGCATTCACTTTCTGCATCACGTATTTGCATCACTATCTGTTGCTGTTGCTTTGGTGGCCTGAGCATCATTTTTTCTCCTTCCAGCCTCTATCACTTGGAGACCATCACTAGACATAAAAGTGTGGTGTCTGATCATCCCTAAGCTGTTTGGATTCTAGAGCTTTGGAAATGGTGTCACTAGCTGCGGCAAGATGTAACCATGCTGGTACCATGCTGGGAAGACTTGTCTGGATTCTGCTTCTCTTTGGCCTGCTGGTGAGTAGAAAAGAAACAAAATGGGCTGGTCAGTAGTAGCATGTTGCCATAAAAGAAATAGTTGAAATAGGTTTTTTTTAAAAAGGAGGCATAATTATTCTCACTGAAAGACAGGACATGGATAGAAGTGATATTGGGGTATGATCGAATTAGAAATTGCTAACAGTAAGACCATCTGCTGTATTTTATGGAGGTAATATAATTCAAAACGTATTCTATTGCATAATAAGGAACATTTCATATCTCTGATAATTTTCAGTGTTGAATATGAGAGTTTTTCAAAGCATGAAGTGCACTGCTTATAGCATTTTCAATACGTGATTCTTCATTATCAAGTGCAGTTAAATACATTTAATTAAATACCAATGTAACTACATAAAATGCATTATAAAGATTTCTAAATATGTTTTAAATGTGCACAAATGTATTGTTCTGGTATCAGGCAACTCTTATAGTCAACATAGGAGAGATTCTGAAACAGATCTATATGTAAAATGTTTAGGCTTATATAACATTTCAGATTAAAAAAAGAGTAAGTCGTGTTTTTAGTCAATGTCCACAGGAGTTAATTTGTTGGAAAGGCATATGAATCATAGTAATTATAGGAATCAAAACTGCCAGGTCCTACCATTGCATTTAGGAATTTTCAGGAAGTTTCTTACATCTCAACTGATCCTAAAACAGATTATCTGTTTTTAAAAATGCATTATTTATTATTACTGGTCAGTGAGAATTTTGCTTTGCTAATTTGATGGATTTCCCTTCTCTGTGCTCCCCAAACCCAGATGCAGTTAATATGCAAAGTGTGATGCAGGATGACATGTAATTGACACAATTTGAAATGTGGAAGTTGGTATACAAAGTCTCTGATTGTACTGGAAGCTGTCAGAAAAGATTCTGGGATAATCAAATGGGAATGAATTCCAGGACTGTCTGGCCTTTTAACTCAGGCCCCATCTAGACTGCCATTGGATTCTCCCTTCTTGTTTCTCATAGGTTCTTCGTTTTTCATGCTTATAATGACAGGCACAATATGTTAGAAATAGCAGGAACAAGTGAATTTGACTGGTGCAAATGGGGAGAATTTTGTTAGTTTTGTTTTGAAGCATTTACCCAGATCAACACAATTCCTCAAGCTGAAGACTGAAAGAACTAGAGGTTACAAACAACTGAATGAAGGAGAAAGCAAAACTGCTGTGGTTCCACCATCCATATCCTCAGCTTATTACTAAAACAAATAACTTCAGTTGGTCCATTTTATCAAATTTCATTGGCTCATTTCGCGAAACTGGCATTTTCAATGTATACAGATTTTAAAGATATTTAAAAATAAGAGTTGTAATGTTCCAGGGCAAAGAGACAGGCTGTAATTTTAGTATGGAAAATTTGGGATCACATGGATGATAACCTATTTTCCCTTATTAATTGCACATTTTGATGAACTTAATGGCAATAAAAAGTGGAGTTAAAGAAAAACAAGCTAGTGAATCAAATGACACATCTCTTTCCCTAGTAGCTCATAATAACTAGGAAAGCACGGTCCATGTTTCCCTACCATGTAACTATGCCAAGGCTGATGCAGATGGGGACCCTGATAAAACAGTCCACTTTGTGGCCTTCTGCCAGTTATCAGGTACAGGAACACCACAAGTAATTATATGCTCTACCTGTGTGATGCTTTCTGCATATAGACAGTAGCTTCTGGGATGCATGGACCAATTATCCTCTTTGTTGACAGAACTCCTCTGTCAGTCGTAGATTGCAATCTCCTCCCAATTCAACCTCCTGTCAATGAAGTAGGATTCCATTCATATTTCTCTTATATTTGAATTTATATTGTGTTCTTACATAATTTTATGGTGAAGTGTTTTAACTGTGTTTGGCCCTACCTTGAATCATGAGGAGAGGTGGGTAACAAATAAAACTGCCTACTACTGCTGCTACTACACTAGCCAACACACATTTTGGTGCCCAAATGTTAGAACTGTTTCCAGGTGTATCTGACAAGCTGATTCAAAAATTTTCCCTATCAGCTTTAGTTTTTGAGATACAGAACATATGCCATATTAAATCATGATGACCATAACTAGGAAACTGGAGCTGATGTAGTCTATCCAATGCAAATTTTGTAAACAGGACCCCAAATGACCTCTGAAACGAGGTCTAAAAATCAAGATACCAAGAATATTTTTATTGGGCTCTATTATTAGTGATATCACTAAATATATTTCCTGGCTCAGAAATATACATCTATAAATCTCTCAAATATAAGGCCAGTATTATGGCCTCAGACACTCAGATTAGAATCTAAAGTGGAGAAGAATTTAGCTTTTTCCCCTCCCTGCCCTTTCCCTACACATTTCTTTACCTTCCTTGATTGTAATGATGGATTACAGAGAATATTTTGAAGCCTGGCTCATAGCTTCAGTGTATGTCAGCCCCAGAAAAAAAGAGAGAAAGGCATCAATGGAAAAGGAAGTCAGAAAACTGGTGGATATATCAGGTTTATAGAGAAGGAAGAGACCATTGGGCCGTTCCCACTACACAGCTGTGGCATTATGATTCCTCTTTAACTGGGATGTTTGCATCATATGAAATTCTGGAATTTGCAGTTTGGGAGGCACTAGAGCTCTCCGGCTAAGAATTCTAAATGCTTCTGCCAATTCCAGGATTCTTTAGGATGTTGCCATCCTACAGAATTAAAGAGGAATCATGCTTAAGACAGCTTGAAAGGGGCCATAATTCTCACTTCTTTTCTTTCCTCATTCTTTTTATATACAAGTTGAGTGTTCCTTATCCAAAAATCTTGCAAGTTAAGCATTTGGATAAGGGATACTTTGCCTGGATTTCAAAGTTGCTAGAGATACATTAAAACAGTGGAAATTTGGCTTTTGCACTCTACAAAGGAAGTGTACCGCAAAGGAATTTACTAGATTAAGAATTTTGTGACATGAATACAACACACCACAATAAATACACCACAGACAATGATGCTGATTTCTTTTGTTTACAAACTACATTAATATATTTTCAAACTAAATTAAGAACCATCAACTGCAAGTTATGACTTAGAAGTATTTAGTTATTTTCCATTTAAAAAGTAAATATGTTTAAAATTTTTGACTTTCTCCTTTATAGCTATTGAGTGGATTTTGTGAAGCTTGCAAGAAAATTACTTTTAATGTTCCTCATAAACTTGAGGCTGCAATGTTTATTGGCAGAGGTGAGAAAATCCAACAATACTTTATATTTACATTTATATAGAAATTGAGCAATGTTATTATAGACGAGAATAATCAGATAATCTCTCTTTTTTCTATTAAAAATCTAGGAAAAATAGTGTATGTGCATTTTATTTCTCCAGAAAATCTTGCAGGCCACACTATACAGTATAGTTGCCAGTGCACTATTCTTTGTTTCCAAATGTCCTTCAAAACCTTCTAAAGGGTGTCTTTCTCTTACTATGGTGAGACCAGACATGTCCCAGGGCAATTTTAGGCCTATGAGATGTCTGCCTTCCTTTTTTAGGAACCAACTGGAAGTTACCATTAGTTTTTAAAAAGACCTCCACTAGACCTAAAATGTCCCAAAATCTCACTAGATGGCATTCTGGGAGCTAGTAACCCTGGACCCATGAGGGTCCCAAGAAGAGCTTGGGGGTGGCAACATATGGCCCATGTGCTAGACTTTGCCTACCCCTGTGCTAAGATGATGATAACCAGGAAGCTTTGCTAGTCCATTGGAACTCTGATCCATGGAGCAATTCTAAATGAAGTAATTATGTTCCCATTTCCAAAATGTTCCCCAGCAATGCTAAGGAATGGTTCCATTAGAATGTCAGTCCTGCTTCATTACAATCACCACAGGAGGAGATAAACATGTATACCAGTTCTCAGTTGAGGTAGATATGGGCTAGAATTCCATTTGTGTCTTATGTGGCTGTAAACAAGCAGTTTGATATTTTTGTCCAGTACACACATCTGCATTCCATCCAAAGCCATGGAAGTGGAGTTGTGCATGAAAATGTGCACCCCCCTCCACCTGTGCATATACACCTGCTTCTGCTGAGACTGATGGCACTACTCCTTCAGTGATAGAGTCATTTTCAAATTTGATCAGGCAATGCTGCCATTAATCACATGTAGAACAACCACACACACAATTCTGCATGTAGTAACTTATTCAACAGCAAAGCAGACTCTTGGCCAAAATAGTAAGGGTTGAAATGACCACCAGACTGTCCCATTTGCAGGGCTACCTGCATATGTGCCCAGATTTTGGACCTATATATTTTGGGAATGTGCTTTTCACCAGTGGAACTGTTCTTTATCTCGTGAATTAGAATTACCTTTTGGGACACTAAGTATAGATTAAGACACTTTAGAATTTTGTTTTCTAAAATGCATTTTCTTGAGTTTTGACTAGCCTTTGAAATCTTACTTTCTCTTACAGTAAACATGAAACTGTGTTTCCAGCATTCTGGAGTTCTTAGCTCAAACAATCCCAGTTTTACAGTTCTAAATGACAGTTTGTTGTATACCACAACTGCTATGTCCTTGTCTTCCCATGAAAACACCATTGCCTTATCCTTTAAAGGCATTGATGAAAATGAACCAAGGATGATATATGTTAATTTGCAAACATATCCAGGAAAGGTAAATATATGTTGTCGTTGTTGTTGCTGCTGCTGCAGTTGCTGTTGTTTGCTTTCAATAATTTCTGACCTTTGATGACCTATGATGGGGTTTTCTTGTTGAAACTAATGTAGGGTTTTCTTGGAAAAAGTAGTTCAGAACAATTTAGCTTTACTGAGAGACTTGCCTGGTTGTTTTTCATAACCAAGTGAGGATTTAAACCGAGGTTTCCAGAATCACGGCCCAACACTCAAACACTATGGTGACTGCTTTGAGTGTATAAAGAAATACTTTTCAATTTCAATAGAGTACAGACCCTCTTTTTTAAAAGAAGGTACATTCCCCATCCCTTGCAATCTATTAAAATGCAAAGGAAACTAGTTCCAACTCCCTTCCAAAAAATATTTCCTACCCATATATTTTTCCATTACTTTTCCTCTTTGTTTTTTCTTCTTGTTTTTCTAGAACTGTTGGTTTGATTTACATGACTTTTGCATAAGATTAGAAACTGGGCAGATATGGTTAGCAACTTCCCTATAGTTCTGTTAAATATTCCCATGAACTAATATATCAAATACAATTCTAACTGAGGCAGTTAATAATTCTAATACACCCAAATGGGGCTAGAATTTAGCGGGTAAAGTACCAGAAAAAAAACAATGCAACTGCCGCATTGAGTCGCCATCTTAGGCTGAAAAATGCGGTATAGAAATAAAGCAAATAAATAAATAAATAAATAAACTGTTTCACAATATTGCATATTATAATTATGTGAGAAGCCAGGAAGTCTTATTAACTATTAATGTGATTATAAAATTTGGGACTCAAGAGGGATTTTAAAATAGGAGAAAGTGATTATCAAAATGTATGCCCAGCACAAGCCACATTCTTTCCATTGATGTTTATTTAAATTATCATATTCTGTCTTTCAGGCAGCAAGGGATAATGCACGACATATACGAGAGACTGTTGTTAGTCGAACCAAACGAAGATGGGCTCCTGTCCCAACTATCATAATGGAAAACTCACTGGGACCATTCCCAATGCAAATTCAACAGGTATATTTTAAGTATTCCCCATAACTTGACTTTTCAAATGAACTTGACATTTCTCTTGCATAGAATAATATGTTACTGAGCATGGATGTACTTTTGAAATTCAGGGGGAAATTCTAACAAAATATTATGAAACAATGTGATTTGTAAATTAAATACTGATGAAATCAATTGAACTTTTGTCAAACAATATCTTTCCATGGAAGAACTTCCAAGGAGAGAAGTTGTGTAGTGCTGAGCAATTTTATGTTTATTATAAGCTGATGGTGCAGCAGGTTAAACTGCTGAGCTGCTGAACTAGATGACTAAAAGGTTGGTGGTTTGAATCCAGGGAGTGGGGTGAGTTCCCGCTGTTAGGCCCAGCTTCTGCCAACTTATCAATTAGAAAACATGCAAATGTGAGATCAATAGGTACCGCCTTGGTGGGAAGGTAACGGTGTTCCATGCAGTCATACTGACCACATGAACTTGGAGTTGTCTATGGACAACGCCGGCTCTTTGGCTTAGAAATGAAGATGAGCACCACCACCTCCCCCCACCCCCCAAGTCGGACATGACTAGACTTAATGTCAGGGGAAACCTTTACCTTTACTGTTTTAGCAGGAGCACTCCCATTAATAAAAACAAAAATTATCAAAAACAGCCTTTAAATAATTGCTCCTGTATTTTGTGCTATATTGTGCTTCTTCTCAGATTTTGAAAGGAAATTAGGAGAGGTCATTTTATCATGATCCTAGAAATTAGAATAGCCATCTGTAAGTTACTGTTCCTCCCGGTAACTTCCTTTGCAATGATGAGATTGCTCTGTTATATCACTGTTGCAGACAGAAACGTTGCTGCCGTTTAGTACTGGGGGTGCCATTTTATCTCTGCTCATACTTACAAAATTGGAATAGATATCTGAAGAGTGAAAAACTTCACACTGGAAATTGAACCCCATTTAAAGGTTACTCCTTTCACCCCGAAGCAGACCTTGGGAAAGTTAGCTTTATGGACTCACCCCTCAGAATCTCCAACACTTAGATTTATAGGCCTTGCAGAGTGCCTTTTCCTGCCTCTCCCAGAAAGTACTGCATATACTTATATATAAGTCATAAGTTATATATAAGAAATTTTAGTCAAAGATTGTCAGCCTCTTGAAATATCTTGGAATTTTTCATTTTCTGTGAAATAGTCCTTGATTTATCCACAAGTCATATCAAAATCCATAATTTTTATTCCAAAATCTGCTCTTAACTTATACACAACCCCTGTATAATTCAACCTTGACATATACACAATTACATACAGTAACCTAAAGCACATATACACTTATATCAGGTGGGAATCTCATAAAAACTTTGACATTTACTGCCTGTTCACTACATTTCCTAAATGCAATTTGAAAGTAAGACAGACAACCTCAGAAGGCAGTGAGTTTTTCTTTGCTTTAAGTATCTAAGCAGAGACTGGACAGCATTCTGTTGCTCCATTTTGTGAACATGTGTGCCTTGAATATACTTCTATCATGGCGACTCTACAATTTTGATAAGTGGACCAAGAACACCACATAAATGTTCTAAAGTACAATGAATGTCAGTGGCCACTATTGATATGGTGATGTCTCCATGTGATAAGGATTTGTGAAGTTAGTGACAGCTTGTGGCTTCATCTTGTTCACCAAATACTCTGGATGACTCCTTAGATATATCCTTTAAAATTCAGAGTAACTCTCAGAGCAGATTTGGTGTCCCACAGACATGGGAGCCATTAGCAACTCTTGGTTGTTGGTCTTCTTTGGATCCCTTTAATCATGAAAACATTGTGAGAGCCATAACGTATGATAATGTCTGAATTGACCTGAACATGCATCTCTTGTACATAATAAAATTCCTAATAGACACTGAATAATGAAGGAAAAGAGAAGATGTTTGTTAACAATTATTTTCACTGTTTCATTATCAATGGCATTTACAGTTATCTTCTGACATGGCCCAAAAGTATAACATTAAATATTCCATAACTGGTCCTGGTGTTGACCAAGTACCACTACATTACTTCTACATTGAGGAAGACACTGGAAACCTCTTTGTTACCTGCCCCATAGACCGAGAGGAATATCCAGAATTTCAGGTATGACTTTCAAGCTTCTGTATGAATTGACTGGTGAAAAAAACCTCATCAAATGCATCTTTGGGGTTTATTTTTCTATTCTTTTACTATTTTACAAAATATTCTATTCTATTCTATTTTAAATTTTACAAAAATAGCCATATGGGCATGCCAGCCATCTATTGCAAATGATTTTTTTTTCATCTTCAGATTCTTTTTATGTACTCTGAGACAAGGTAATAAACAGGGATGGTGGTTCTAACAAGTGAATTCATTTTTTTTATTTATCGTGTCAGGAGCAAAACAAAACAGTTGCATTGCATTAAAAACAAACAAACAAACAAAACACAAAGTTTGCAAACTTGATATTCTTGATGTCCTTTAATCAGTAGCTGGCCACTTGGAGTGTCTCTGGTGTTGCTGCAAGAATGTTCTCTATTGTGCATGTGGCAGGGCACAGGTTGCATTGCAATAGGTGGTCAGTGGTTTGCTCTTCTCCACACTCGCATGTCATGGATTCCACTTTGTAGCCCCATTTCTTAAGGTTGGCTCTGCATCTCATGGTGCCAGAGCACAGTCTGTTCAGTGCCTTCCAAGTCGCCCAGTTTTCTTTGTGCCCAGGAGGGTGTCTCTCATTTGGTATCAGCCATTGATTGAGGTTCTGGGTTTGAGCCTGCCACTTTTGGACTCTCGCTTGCTGAGGTGTTCCAGCAAGTGTCTCTGTAGATCTTAGAATTCTTAGGTGAATTCGTGACACTTATTCATTAAAACTGTGAATAGTTAAGAGTTGTAGATCTGGTAAATGCAACACAAGCATGAAATGATGGGAATTGTATTTGCTGCTGAACTCATTCTGTTTTCTCATGTTTAGAGGGAGCCATCCTCAATTCATTCTACCCCTATTTATTTCATGTGCTTCTAGTACTATGTTTCTCTTATTGTGAGAAAGAGAATGAGGGGAAAGAGTGAAGAGAGACTGAAATGGAGAGAGTGAGAAGATGATTTTTTGGGGTGTAAGGGGAGAATGCATACTCTCCAACATTTCAAAAATGGAAGCTGACAGATATGTGGCCAAACACATTAGAGTGTGAGCAAGATGGCAAAAGTTCTTAAATTATATTAAAAGGAAGAAGCTAGGAGATACTAAGTTCTTGTGGGTTTTTTCGGGCTATATGGCTCTGAGGATGCTTGCCATAGATGCAGGCGAAACGTCAGGAGAAATGCCTCTAGAACATGGCCATATAGCCTGAAAAAAACCCACAAGAACTTAGTGATTCCAGCCATGAAAGCCTTTGACAAAGCTAGGAGATGTTGCATCTCTTTCCTTCCTCTTGTTTCCCCTCTGCTGGGTTAACTGAGTTTAAACTATTTTTGCAGTTCCTAGTAACTGAAATAAGCAGAGAAGGAAAGGAAAAGAAGGAGAAGGAAACAGAAACTGGGACATTTTAAAAGCAGCTGAAAATGTGCAATGACAGATTAACCAGGATTGTCTCTCCTTAATTGGGATAGTTAGAGGCTATGAGACTGGAACAGTAGGACAATAATTTTTCTCTATTTAGACAGGAAAATCCCGAGGCTCCTGTTGGGAGGAGTGCTCCATTAGGCAGATGGTGAAGATGTCTCGCCTTTTACCATTGTTTATCATGTATTTCTTGCTCCATGGCCTGTTTGTACCTGGCATTCTCTTGCTTTCATGAAAGCTGGAATGTTAGGGGGGAGGGATTAGTCTTTTCCTGCTTTTTCTTGATCCTCTCCAGCTTTAAACAACAAGAAGTAATTGTAATTTTAAAAGGTACACTTTGTAATGCAGTTTCCCTCAGATAGGCAGGCAGAATGTGGCAAATGGACAGGAAAGGGAGAGTGTGAGCCACACTTTTACCTATTGTAGAACCTACCCCCCACATCAGACACACTGGGTCTGGATATAATGTTTCTTTTATCTTTCTTACTATGAAACATAAGTAGAACATGAATACTATTTTAACTCTGTCCTTCCCTATTGTAGTAGTCCTATACTAGTGTGGAAAAGTTAATTTTGTTGAGAGCTTCTGTCTGCATGCTAGGGAAATCTGCAATATAAGAAAATAACTTTTCCATTCTCTTTCCACCATCCTTTAGGAATTAAGGAATTAAAAATAAAAGTGTTACTTTAATTCTCTTTTATGCAGCTGATTTGTTATGCAGTGACTTCAGATGGATATACACCAGAAGTACCACTTGTGCATATTATCAGAATAGAGGATGATAATGATAATGCCCCGGAGTTTGACCATGATATTTATACTTTCCGCGTTCTTGAAAACAGTAGAATTGGTAATTAAATCTCTTTTTAAATAACTATTTTGAGAATAATTCAAAAATGCTATGTACAATGATTATTAGGATGTTTGTATCAGTAAAACTGACCTATGTGTTGATATCAAGGAATGCACATGCAAAACATCCTAATTAGCATATCCTGAAATTAAGGTAAAAATATCCACATAACTAAATTCAGGACTCACCAATTTTATTAGGCGGCATTTTTCTCCTGTGACTCTCCAGAAACCACAAAGAATGCAAAAAATAAAATACCGACAAAACCTAATTATTTTTTAGTTATGATTTTTTACATTAAGGAGTATTCTGCTATATTTTTGAAAAGGTGAATCAAGCCTGCTGAAGGTTTATAGGAGCAGCAATTTGCCCTTGTTATGCCAGAAAAGGATACAGCTCAACTGGAGGGATTTGTAATCCAAAAACTACTGGTCTGGATCCTCTGAAAATTGTCCTTTTAGTTGTGATAGGGGCATTGTTCATAAGCACAAAAAAAAATAAGTTTAAAGTTTTCTTCCAAGTAGTGCTCCTTTAGTAACTATTTCCATGCTGCTTTATAAATTTAACTGAGATTATCAAAATAATCTGAAGAGGGAATGAATTGAAGGGAACTGAAGGGAATTTTCCAGTGTACTTATCTTCTTTGCTTATATTGCTTGCGTCAAAATGTTGATAATGGTAGCAGCAGCAAGAACACCACAAACAGTAACATATATGTCATATTATCAGTAGGGTAATTTCAGGGGATGGGAGTACTGAAGATAAAGAAGAAGAGAAGATGATGAGAGGTTAAAAACTATAAAATGAAATTAAATGCCTCTGCAAAAAAAATTGTGGTTCCACTGGCAATTGGTGCTCTGATAGCAATTACTAATTAACTAAGAAAACATTGGTTTGAAATAGATGGGATCACAATGGCACAAAAGTGATACTATTTGGAACATACTTCATTGTTCATTTGATTCCTAGATTATATGGAAGAATTTGAAGAATTGATCATTCAAATTCTCAAACACCTGTAAAGTGTGGAATCAAGATGATGGTTACAATTATGATAATGTTTTGTTTCCTTATTATTGTTGTTTACTCAAAGTAGTTTCCTGTCCTAGCAGGAAATTACAATGAGAATTGTTGCTTTAATTGCAAGTTAATGTCCACATTCTGAAGGCAACTCCCTGTTCACAAATAATGTGTGTGCACACATATGTACATGCTTGATACTATATTTCTCTCTTTTTAGAATTATATTAATATAATAATACAGTAACAAAAACAACCATGTGCATCTATTGCTATGACGGTTGTCAAGCTTCGCTGAGTTAAATGGGAACTCCATTGATGCTAGACCTCTGAAGGAATGGGGCCCAGTACTGCTTGTGCTCCTGTTCAACTCAAAATATTTATGACAGATCCAGTGAACTTTTACTGTCACTTGAAAACAACATGCATAGATTGAAGATACAATGGATGGAAATCTCCCATTCATATACAAAGCCATGAATATTCAGAAAGAAAGTTACCTATATTGGCATCTATGCATGATTCAAAAAATTGTGTTTTGCTTGACAACTTCTTGGTATTTGAAACTTTTTTTCAGAGAAAGGGAAAGAAAGTGAATATAGTTCAGCTCTCAGATCTTAAGTTCCTATATTTCAATGTTTTGCTTTTAATGTGATGGGAACACACACACATGCTTTCCCCAAGCAATGTGTAGTTAGAGATCCTCAGTGTATCTTTTGGTTTATTTGAAATAAGTTGTAACTAAGTCAATATTTGATTGTACTATCAAATTAGAAAAAAGCAATGAGCATCTTCTCTCTTAATCTCATTAGTCATATGTCAAGGAATTTTGCATTTCTCCATAAATGTCTTAATATTAAGAAAAAAAATCTAAAATAGACCTGCATTTAGATATTTAACATTTAATAGCATTTTGTAAACTTTCTTATGAAAGAAAGGAATTCAAACTTAATGCCTTGCACATGCAGGAACACTAGTTGGACAAGTGACTGCAACAGACAAGGATGAACCAGACACCTTACATACCAAACTGAAATACCGAATTTTGTCCCAGCACCTTCTAAGTCCTCAGACCTCTGCCCTATTTGCCATACATCCAGACACAGGGTGTATCACTGTAGCATCACCACATCTGGACAGAGAGGTAATTCTTCTGTAAATCTAGAAGGTATTGGCATGTACATACTCTATAAATTGTTGAAAATGTTGGCATTGTTTCAGTTATCAAAATGCATTATGGTAGAATGTATGCTATAAATTATCTGTCTGAAATAATAAGCATATCTTTAGTTTGGCATCTTGATCTTTAGTATCTAGTATTTATTGGCATATTTTAAAGGTTTTATTCAGTTCTATTGTTCCTGTTCTATTCCCGCAATCTCTGGTGTTACTTTATATAAAAAAAACCCCACAGTGTTAACCAGAATAGGACAATGGTGTCTTTATTATAATCTGAATTTTCTACAGACAACATCTGAATATTTACTACAAGTAGAAGCAAGAGACATGGGCGGCCAGGATTTTGGATTGTGCACTACAGCAAAAGTGCTAATAGTGATTGGAGATGTAAATGACAATCCTCCACAATTACAACAAACCATGGTATGTCTGTCTCTATTAACATGTATTAGAGTTTTCAAAAATATATTTTAATGCAGTTATGGTAAATGTTACACTAAGTGAGAATATAACATATTTCACATTCTAACTATATCAACAGTATATTATTTCAGATTATTTGAATGGAATGAGTGCCAATATTATTATCCATATCTATTATTTATCATTTTGTATTTCTTACTTAGTTTTATTATATCTTATTAGTTTTTCTGTATAAACCACAGACTCTCAGTCCCTGGAATGTGATATTTCAGAGGTGCAGGCATGCTATTTTCTTGCAACAGCAGCAAGAGGCTGGTGGCATATATTGTTATGTGTCTTCAAGGCACTTCCGACTTATAGATACTCCAAGGCAGTGGTTCTCAACCTGTGGGTTCCCAGGTGTTTTGGCCTACAACTCCCAGAAATCCCAGCTGGTTTACCAGCTGTTAGAATTTCTGGGAGTTGAAGGCCAAAACATCTGGGAACCCACAGATTAATAACCACTGCTCGAAGGCAAATCAATCACAAGCTTTTTCTTGAGAAGATTAGTTCAGAAAGGGTTTGCTATTCTCTTCTTCTGAGACTGTGATTTACCCAAGGTTACCCAGTGGATTTCATGACTAAATGGTGATTTCAACCCTTTTCTCCAGACTATGCCATAAAATATCTGTCCATATGATTTTAAGGGCCATTTCCCTTTTTTCAAATAGAGACATCAAAATAACAGCAAACCAGAGGTGCAAACAAGTCCATATCAAAAATGATTATCCAAAGATTAATTGGCCCATGAGGTCTCTTCCAACTCTATAATTCTATGAGTACACATAGCATGGGATAGTGTTTCTTTCTTGTAATGAACCAATTGCATCCAACCTGTAATACTATGTAGCAAAATCTTGAATATGTTATTTCCTGTTTAATTGTGCAGTACTTACTTTGAAAATAGTTTTGATGCTCCAGAAATGTCATTTTTGTGGCTTCCACAAAATATGTGGAATTGGTTGAGACTCTGTGAGATATTCATTGAAAAACTATAGCAAAATGTGCTGCAGGATGTCCTGCAAAAACAAGTTTTTGCAGTTTAATAAACCTTTCCTGTGTTTTTATGATAGAACCAATCAGAAAAGGACTTTTATAACCCAGGAACAAAAAATTGTCTTAGTGTAATCAGTTTAAGTCTAATAGCCCTATATTTTCATATGTGATGCAACTTAGCTTCTTTACCATTGTGTTGTCGAAAGCTTTCGTGGCCAGAATCCCTGGGTTGCTGTAAGTTTTTTGGGCTGTATGGCCATGTTCTAGAAGGATTTTCTCCTGACGTTTCGCCAGTATCTATGGCAGGCATCCTCAGAGGTTGTGAGATCACAATTTGAGGATGCCTGCCATAGATGATGGTGAAACGTCTGGAGAGAATGCTTCTGGATCATGGCCATACAGCCCGAAAAACTTACATCAACCCTTTACCATTGTTTTATATAATTTTAAATTTCCACTGGCCCATTGCTTCTCTTTTTCCAGTAATGTCTGAAATGTTCCTACACTAACACTAAAAAACTTGTTTATTTCAGTATGAAGTGTCTCTGCTTGAAAACACAGTAAATGCAGAACTGTTATGCATCCCTGTGTCAGACAGTGATGAACCTGGGAGACCTTCATGGTTGGCTTCATTCACTATCATAAAGGGAAATGAAGACAACAGTTTTGCTATTAATGTTGATGAAGAGAGAAATGTTGGATGTTTAGTTGTTTTAAAGGTAAGTGTAATTGAGAAAGACCATAGCTCTTAGAGCTGTTATATTACTAAATGCCATCACTGTGTTCTCCGGGAATTAATGCAGAAACCCACCCAACTCATACATTTTCAGCTGGTGTAGAAATTTCCCTTTTGTTTATGTGATCTGGAAAAAGTAAAGAGAGGGAGGAAAAATGGAGAAACTCAGAAAAAGTTTCAAAATGTCTGTGAATACAGGTTTTTCCCAATGTTTGAAGGCAATAGTAGCATTTTAAAGCTTATTACATTAGTCATTTGCTTCAGATTCTTGTATTCAAAAATTGACTGAGTTATGCTCACAAACACTCTGAATCCTGATGCTGTTATCTCACCCTTACATATTTTTCTTTAATAATGTAATTTCCATTGTGTTTTTTCCTTCACTACAAGTACCTCAGTACCCCATTTTCTGTGCCTTCTAAATCATGATTACTTTCCATTTCATCTTTGTAATGTAGCCAAAATAATGCCATTACATTATGTGTGGGCCAAGGGAAGTATAAGGGCTCTTCCCTCCATCCCTGTTGCCACTACCCTGGCATCAGAGAGAGAGAGAGGTGAAGAGATATGGATAGTTCAAGCATGCCTAGGCCCAGAAGCAGATGAAGATCCTCCCTCCATCCCAATGGCCACTGCCCTGGCAGTTGGGGGACAGAAGAGACAAATTCTGCTCGGCTTCCACACCCTTTTTGTTTTGTATCATGTCTTAACTGGATTGTAAATCTAAAAGGCAAGGAACAGCTTTGTTGTTTGGTTTTTTTACTTGTACCATGTACAGTGATGGTGCTACATAAATAATTAGAAAACAGATGAGGAAATGAAGCTGTGTTTTTGGGGAATCCTATCTTCTCCATCTAAGTGGAGAGGTAGTCTGAGGGCCCTTCCACACCGCCCTTTATTCCAGGATCTGATCCCAGATTATCTGCTTTAAACTGGGATATATCATTCCCCACTGCCAGATAATCTGGGATAATCAAGGAACAGATCCTGGGATAAAGGGCCAGTGTGGAAGAGCTAACCAAACTAACCCCACACCATACTTCCAATGAAATGGAGTTACTCATTCCCATTCTAACTGCTTAGAGAACCATAGTGAGAAAGGGAATCAGTAACAGATTATTTCCGTCATTCAATTCAGAATTTTATTTTATTTATCGTGTCAGAAGCAAGTTGAGAGTACAGTTAAAATGCATTTAAAACACAAATAAATGTTAAAACTTGGCATTATGCTACAAGTTCTTTGACCAGAAGCTGGCCACTTGGAATGCCTCTGGTGTCGCTGTGAGAAGGTCCTCCATTGTGCATGTGGTAGGGCTTAGGTTGCATTGCAGTAGGTCTGTGGTTTGCTCTTCTTCACACTTGCATGCCATGGACTCCACTTTGTAGTGCTTAAGGATCTTAAGGTTAGCTCTGCATCTTGTGGTGCTAGAGCACAGTTCCTAGTGTTGTTGTGCCTACAACAACACTAGGAGAAGCACAGGTGAACTCAATCCACTGCTTTGTGTTGTGTGGCAAGCACTTAGATCTTGTTTTTATTTTAATAAAAAAACATGTTTATTTCCAGGGACTAGACTATGAAAAAGCCAAGGAAAGAAGATTAGAAATTGTTGTGAATAATGAAGCTCCTTATGCACCTGCACCAAATGCAAGGGCCATTTCAAAAAGTATGGTCACTGTTGTGGTCAATATTAAGGACCAGGATGAGGGACCAGTATTTGAGCCCTGTGAATACAATTTATACATAAAAGAAGGTTTGCCAAGTGGAACAGTGGTTGGAAACTACAAAGCAAAGGACCCAGAAACCGGAAGTAGTGAAGGCCTAAGGTACAATCTTATTTTGGTGCCGATTTGTTTTATAAAATGTGGGTCACATTGGGAAAAAATTATAATGTTTTAATGCTATCATAATACATTGCCATTTCACAGCTACAGACTAATAAGTGACCCATGCAACTGGATTATCATTGATCGCAGAGGAGATCTAACACTTACTAAAGTTTTAGACAGAGATGTACCAGACAACAAACAAAATCAATGCAATGTTACAGTCTCTGCTACTGATCAAAGTAAGTACTAAATGCTCTTTGGAACTGCTCTGTATTCAACAAAATACTGCTCTAATTTTCAGCAGTATTTTGTTGAAATCTTCTCTTTATACTCAAGCTTTAAAAGTATTTAGATCCCATGTGAACAATAATGGGGAAACTGTTAGCCTTAAAGCTTCGGATGTCAATTCCTGAAGGAGAAACTGTCATAGTTAAAGATCAAAAGTTATCAGAGACTGCACTCTGAAACATTTAGAGAATCAAAGTTTTCCCACTGCTGTACAAGAATGGTTTTGTAACATAAATCCGGTAGCACCATTTATTTATGTTTTATGTTTTTTTAACTGTTTTAATATTGTTGATCTTTTTAACTTTTGTAAATTAATGTTTTAGCTTAATTTTTTTTAAAAATATTGTGAGCTAAGTTGAATCCTACCTTGGAGAAAGATAGGATAAAAAAATCAATCAATCCACATATAGTATTTTGGCAGATTCATGAAAGGAAGCAGATATATTGAAAAGTCACTGTTTTACTTTTCCTTGTGTTTCCAAATTTGTTGTTGTGTCAGTGTCAACCAGTGTCAATTTTGTAAAACTTAAGTCATTATCCAGTTATGTATGCCTGGAGCTCACTGCACACTGGAGATTCCATGTAGATGAGTACATTATCCCATTCAGTTAGTGAAGACCCCAAAGATATTTCAACAAACTCCTTATTCTTTGAATCCATTCCCCCTTTTTTCTTATTTGGTGTTATGGTAAAACATAAAATCTGAGTATTAAGGTTGAGCTTTCCTTAAGTCTAAGATTCTCTTAACTGAAATTCCAAAATCCAAAATGTTCCAAATGACAGGCTGCATACACAAATTTTGTTTTGTGTACAAAATTATTTGAAGTATTATATAAATTTTCCTTCATGGTATGTATATATGGCATAGATGAAACATATATGAATTTTGTGTTCAGAGTTGTGTTTCATCTCCAAGCTATTTTGGAATACCTGGATGCAAACAGAGGCATGCCAAAATCAGAAAAACTGAATTCCAAAACACTTCTGGTCCCAAGCATTTTGGAAAAGGGATACTAAACTTGTATAATATTCCTCATATTTTAAATACTTTTGGCTACACAACTATTGTATAGCTTAGCTATATGTTTGCCTGGAAAAGGTAAAGTCAGGCTGTCTTTGGAATCTGCTCTGTGAATACTATTTAGTAACGATATTGAACTATAAGAAATTTTGATTTCTCAGGTGGTAAATCAGGTATTGGTGAAATTATGATGACACTAATAGATGAGAATGACAATTACCCTGTGGTTACCAGAAAAAATTACACCATGTGCAAGAACAAAAAACCAGTTTGTGTTACAGCCGTTGATAAAGACATACCTCCCAACACTACACCCTTCCACTTTGAAATAGAAATGCCAACAGACTCAACATGGAAAATAACACCACATGAAGGTACACAATGGTTTGAATATCTCACTCTTTGAAAAATAAGCTTAACTAAGGCAGCAGTAATGTAAAAAAAATGATTACTGGATTTTGATTATTTGTTCTACAGATGCATCAGCTTTGATTTTACCAGTGGCAGACATAGACTATGGCCATTATCCAATTCTCCTCAGAATATATGATAATGGAGGTTCAAGTGGAACAAGTGAAATACTGATACACTATTGTGACTGTGTCATTCCAAGTGAATGCCTAATGGCTGCAGTTCCTCCCCTGAATGCTGCTGTAGATTCATCTTATGCAGAATATAGTACATCTTTTGTTCCTTGGGGTGCTGTTTCAACAGTATTTGGATCAGCATTACTGATGTGTAAGTATATATGTGTCTTATGGTGTACATTTAAAATTAAATTTAAACCTATATTTTCATTACTTATAATTTAGTAGAGATGTTTTTATTTTCTCCACATATTTGTAAGATAGCATTTTTTTGGTGTCAGGAGTGACTTGTGAAACTGCAAGTTGCTTCTGGTGTGAGAGAATTGGAAGTCTGCAAAGACATTGCCCAGGGGACGCCCAGAAATTTTGGTGTTTTACCATCCATGTGGGAGGCTTCTCTCATGTTTCCGCATGGGGAGCTGGTGCTGACAGCAGGAGCTCATCTGTGCTCTCCCTGGATTTGAACCTCCGACCTGTTGGTCTTCAGTCCTGCCAGGACAAGGGTTTAACCCACTGCGCCACCAGGGGCTCCAGATAGTTGATTAAAAAGAACACTAGTAATACCAGTTCAAAACATTTTGCTGCTTCAATGAATAGACAAAACATTGCCCCAACCAACCATAATCCCAGCTCTCTTTAAAAAAACAAACAAACCAGTATATAGACCTTGATCTCAGGGAGAAGTATGCTAGTAGTCATACTTACATTGAAGGGTGCTTCTACAGTATAGAATTAATGCGGTTTGACACCATTTCTAAGGCTCAATGCTATGGAATCATGGGAGTTGTAGTTTGGTGGAGGAGTAGCATTCTTTGGAAGATATGGCTAAAGGTTTTACAAAACTACAGCTCTCATGATTCCATAACATTGGCCCATCACATGAACAGTGGTATCAAACTGCATTCATTCTCCAGTCTAGATGGACCCAGACATGTTGGTTTTCTTTGTACACAGTTTTTCTTCCTGTGAATAAGGGACAGAAAAAATACTCTGATTTCTAAAAAGTCACTCAAATCCTTTTGTTAATTATGACTTCTAACCTTTTATATGATTTCTAACCTTTGCTTCAACCTTTTATAAAAAGGGACACAGACTCATTTCAATATTATTGCTTTTATTGCTTTTGTGATGTCTTATACTGTTTAATGTTTTTTAATCTATTATGTTTTATGTATACTGATTTGTTGGAAACTGCCTTGAGTCACCAATTGGCTGAGAAAGGCGGTATACAAATACAGTAAATAAATAAATAAATAAATATTAAATAAATTGAGATATCCTATTAAGGCTTTTGAAACATGCAAATGTAAATGTCTGGTTTTGTACATTTTCTCTTCTAGTAGGTATGGGTGCACCAGTTGGTTATTGGTATCGCAAAAGAGGTTCCACACCTCATGAAGTTCCTGATGATGTAGCTTTTCCTAACTTAATTACATCAAATACTGAGGCACCAGGAGATGGACTGACGGTAAGTGCTTTTGCCTGACTAATTTACCTACCTTTTGCTAGTAAAACTAACTGTCATTAGTATACAAAGAAAAAGAAAAAGGAAGGTAAGTTATACCCTTGCAATCATACTATGGAACACTTTAATGGATAATGGTGAAGGCTCATTACAATTTTTCAGTGCACTTTTATTGGAATGTATAAATGCTGCTCTTGTTTTTTGTGGGTTAAGAGTATGATGGGATAGATCAATGTGTGGATCTTATTAAATTCCATACTGAATATCAGGTGAGTGGCCATACTTTAAAATATTACCTTTGGGTTGTTGTAGGTTTTTCAGGCTGTATGGTCATGTTCTAGAAGCAAACTTTGCTCTAGAACATGGCCATACAGCCTGAAAGACCTACAAGAACCTAGTGATTCTGACCATGAAAGCCTTTGACAATACAATATTACCTTTGTTTGGATATTAACCATCAGAATCTTTTGGTAATTGCGGCTACTGCTATGAGTTCTGCTGCAGTTCAAGCTCAGCCAATGTAACTTGTCAAAGAACAACTTCTTGACAAAGAGTTTTGAACAATAACCTGATGCTGCATTATATGATGGCTGCAGATGAAGCCTATAGATGCTGGTATATGTCTACATAGTGTTAGAGATCCATGAATCCCATTGCAGATAGAGTATTTTTTTTAATATTTATTCTTTTCTCCTCCAATATTGAGAGATGCAGATGGGAATGAAAAAATCAGAGTTGTTGTTTTTGGTAAAGTGAAATAGACTTGTTTTGATATGATCTAGGTATCCATGGTAAAATTGGATCATAATGAAGTTATTTTGGAATACAGCTTTCAGAATCTGCTAGCCAGCATGACTGGTGGCCATATTGGTTAGGCGATCCTGAGAGTTATAGTTCAAGAAAGTAATTTCCAGGTTCTGAATATACTTTGTCGATTGATCTGTCTTCAAGAATGGCTCAGACTGAGTTATTATCATCATGATGTTTTGTCATTCAGAAAAGCTGGCTATCTCCTATCTCCCCAAGTCCCTTCAGGGAGATTGTGCGAAATACACATTATTATTATTATTATTATTATTATTATTATTATTATTATTATCATCATCATCATCATCATCATCCTCTTTCCCCTTTCAGGATGTGAATATATTTCCTGTGAAAACTGTGAGTGGATCTATGAGCACAGTTCTTGAAAGAAATGAGAAGGGAGAAAGTGTGGCAATGGTGAAGGGAGAAAGAGGTTCCACGGCAGAATTAGTCAAAGGGGGAAAATGCCACATGTCTGGATCTCTGCGACAAATTGCACTACCACTGAGGAATTCATATAAAGATATCTGTGCAGAATGGCAGGATTTCACCAATCCTCACTTATCTGAAGTAAGTGTTCTAATATTGATTCCATCCAGTTTTTTCTCAGAATCAAGATTTAATCAAATAGCAGTGTAGTGATATTATTTATTTAGAGTTGGTTTACACTGAAGCCTTATCCCAGGGCTGATTTGGTGTGGCATAGCGTGAATTGACACAGGGAAGTTTTACACAACTACCTGCCTGGGTGCTGTGAGGCAGGGGGGAGTCCTTACTGTTCAGAAGTTCACTGTCATTGGGTGACCAACCTTACCATCATCTCTGATTCTGTTTCTTGCTGTGGTCTCTGGAAGTGACATGGGTCCTGCTGGTTGCTTGTCGCCTGGTGTGATATCAGACCCCAGGTGCCAGAATGATGAATGGAGGAAGAGAAGAGGAGGAATCATCCCCCTTCCCCCTCTCCCTTCTCTGATCAACTTCTCATTCTGCACAGCACCAACCCTCCATATTCACTTGGGAAAACAAGATGTCTCTGAAAGTGAAAAACTTTGAATAAATAAATAACTATGAGAACACTTCTCTTAAGAATGTCTAGCTTTTCCAGCACTGTTCTGTAATCAACTTCTGCTGAAAACTTACCACAGAACTTCACTAGAGATTCCTAGAGAGGTGTTTTCTTTAGAAATCTCTAGGTTGGAAAGAGTTGACCATAAAATCATACTTAAAGACCAGGGGCACATCTACACTGACCACCTAGGTCAGTTTGGAAGCAATTTCCATAAACTGGTTTCATTGTGCAGATGATTAGATAGCACTGAGGCCAGGAAGGTGATTACATGAACCACAGAAGGTGGCCTTTATGGTTATAGGTTTATAGGAAAATGTAGGTTTTCCCTGCATTTCGATGCAGCCAGCACTCTGGGGAATATATATCCATACTAGGTAGCCCTGCCCTTGGAGTGTTTTTTTTTTTGGCAGACCCTTGTGTTCCAAATTCTACAAAATGCTCCATAGCAGGTGGCTGCCTATAAATTGCTTTGAATTCTTTGGAGCCAATTTCACTGTATGATAAAGTCCACATTTGGGGTTTGCATTAAGTGATTAATTCAGACTTTCCTGCAATTTCATGTAATGTATTTTACTGGTCTTTGTTTGCACTGCATTGTACATTTTGTGGCTGCCAAATCAACGCTGGTGTCATACTGGTCAATGTAAATATTCCCATAGAGAATCCTAGAAATACTCCATGAATAATCAAATCTATAAAAGTCAAACTTGCAAAGTTGGATGGAGGACTATAATCAGGATCCCTACTTTACTTTACTCAAATGAACAGTACCTTGGTCTTCTAGACAAAGTATACTATAGAATTGTGCAGGAGGTCCTAGAGATGCCTAAATAAATGTTAGGGGTGCTAGGTCCTTCTGTGTGATTATTCTTTTACTGAAAATTATTTTAATGCCATTTAGTTTAGATGCAGCTAAAAAAAACCAGTTAATGTGGATTTCCTTTCTCTGCAGATGGTGTATCTTTGTGGACAGGATGAAGAGGGTAAGCATGTTGAAGAATATCTACTTCCATATACCTATGAAGGAAAAGAGTCACCAGTTGGCTCCCTAAGTTCTTGTACTGGTGAGTCAGAAGAAGAAGAACTTGATTTTTTGAATGAGCCAGAGCCTCCATTTAGGACATTAGCAGAAACCTTTGCAACTTCATTGGGAAGTACTCCTGATCAAACAGCATTGAAATGAATGGATTCTCCTCTGTGGTTTTTATGCATCTGTGAAGGATTTGGGCAGGAAAATCTTTCTGTGGCTTTTGCTTATTCACTTTTGCTGTTTTTTCTTTTAAAAAGATATTTAAGTAAATTGGAATATTTTTTAAAAGTCATTATTATATATTTAAAACAATTTATTTAAAAACTCAAATCTTCTATGGAATTTTACCAAATATATTTTAATCTTATATGGATAAGATTGTTCCATTCAATGGGTGCTTATCTTTGAAATACGATTAAAAAAATTAAGTCTCATAATTCCAAAAAAACAAACAAACAAAAAAACAAAATCCTGTTATGTAAGGACTTTGATTTTAGTCTTTATGCAGCTAATACATATGCAGCTAAACTCAGGTCAGTATATTATTGGACCAAGACTTTATTTGCTGGTATAGTCTGACAACATTGGACTACCAATCTGCAAAACTGGAGGCCCCAGTGATGCAATGGTTAAACCCCTGTAACAGCAGGACTGCTGACTGAGAGGTTAGTGGTTCAAATCTGGGGAAAGCGGGTTGAGCTCCCTCTGTCAGCTCCAGCTCCCCATGCGGGGACATGAGTGATGCCTCCCACAAGGACAGTAAAAAATCAAACATCTGGGTGTCTCCTGGGCAATGGCCTTGCAGACAGCCAATTCTCTCACATCAGAAGCGACTTGCAGTTTCTCAATTCGCTACTGACATGAAAAAAAGAAAACAAAACTGGTTTAACTAGTAGGTCATATACAGTAATAGTGGTAATGAGATGAGAAAGGTTTAGTTGTGCCTTATATTCCCTTTGACCATTTTCATGCCTTGTGAAAGTGCCTATTGACAAAGGTATGGAGCCACAATAGATAAGAACACAGACATTAAGACTATAAGTCTGAATATTTCTTACCATTAATTTAACTAGTGTTCATGGGAGCTATAGTCCAACAAGACCAGGGACATGAGAGAAGCCTCTCACAAGGATGGTAAAACATCAAACATCCTTGCATTCCCTGGGCAACGTCCTTGCAGACGGCCAATTATCTCACACCAGAAGTGAATTACAGTTTCTCAAGTCACTTCTGATACTTTAGGAAACTTACTGAATGATGACCCCACCTATTTATTTTTCAATCAAGTTGTGATTTATATTGAACGTTTATTTTATTTTGTGAATTAATACATTTTATGCTGTAAAACTGCTTTGTTGTGTTATTAGATATATAAATCTTAACTGTATTGTTAATAATAGTAATAATAGTAATATTATTAGTAATAGTAAAAGGCAAAGATGACTGGATTGTAGAAAGTATTATTTAATTTAGCCTCTTTGAAAAGAAAAACAACTCTGATGAACTGATATATGTATATTAAAATTCTTACTTATAGCCAGTACATAATTAAATAAGCTCAGGTCCAATTGCAATGTATAATTAATATTTATATGTATATAACTGAACACAGTTATAATATTTAGAATGTACAGTGTTAACTATGACAATATTAAATTATTAAAAATAAAAAAACTGTTTCAGAGCCACTGAAACAAACATAAATACAACTAATTTATCTTTGAAGCAGACTACAGATGTGTCCAGATTACTTGCATGGAAACTGGCTTCCCTGGTCATTTTATGTAATTCCTCCTGCAGCAAAATAAAATAAATGCATAAAATAGATAAATTAATGTGGCCTCATGCCATGAAAGCACCTGAAGTTAAGTAAATGCATGCTGCCAAATCTTGCGAAAACTGATTAATTCAGGAACAAATGAACATTGTTTTTATATATAAGAATGGATTTTTCTTATTTTGCATGGTAAACACGCTGGCATTATTTTTCATAGTAAACACGCTGGCATTAAGGGACTTTAAAGGGATTCTTTTTTGTGAACCTATAATAGCTGTCACAATCATATGGTCAATTTACGATGTTTGTTTCATGTGAATGTTTCATCCTATCCCTATTGTGTGAGTGCTTGAATGTAGCACTTAGAAAGGTAGTAAGTGTTCTGCTTACACCCCACTTATCTTAATAACAAGCTGGTGGCCAGTATATAATAATGGGATTGAAAATAATATGGAGCACAACAGAACTGCTGCAGGTGTGGATTACAGGGCACCTACATTGGCACAATCTGACTATTGTAACTATATATTCAATATGTAAGACAAACCTGTAAATGTGCTTAAGTGGTTCACTGTGATAGGAAAAAGAGTGTGCTATAAAATTATGGTGCTAGTTTTTAGGGTCTTAAAAATAAGATCAATGGAGTTAATAACAAGCATTTAAATTATTGTGTATAATTATGATGACAACAAAGGACCAGCTGTGTGTCATTTTCTTTAGTGGCATAACCATCAGTAAATGAAGAACTAAGGCTCCATCTACACTACTATATAAAAATTCAGATTATCTGTTTTGAACTGGATTATATTAGTCTACACTGCAATGTAATCCAGTTCAAAACAGGTAATCTGGATTTTATGTGGCAGTGTAGAAGGCCTGAGAAGTCTTCCTATTTTCATAGTACAGTCACATTTGTAGGTTTGACTTTCACATATTTGATTTGCAATTTTGGTTAAAATTTCCTTTCTAGAAATCTCTACGGGGCCTTCCACACAGCCCTATATCCCAGAATATCAAGGCAGAAAATTGCACATTATCTGAGTGTGGACTCAGATAACCCAGTTCAAAGAAGATATTGTGAGATTTTCTCTCTTGATATCCTGGGAAATAGAYCTGTGTGGAAGAGCCCTAGGTCCTCTGGCACAATTCCATTGTCATCCAATAGCAGAAACTGACCACAGAGAGCCCTTCCCCACAGCCCTATATCCCAGGGCTGTGGGGAAGCCCTGGGAATCTGTAGGTCCGTCGGCCTGACTCTGGGCCCTATATCCCAGCCCTGTATCCCAGAATACCAAGGCAGAAAATCCCACAATATCTGCTTTGAACTGGGTTATCTGAGTCCACACTCAGATAATGTGCAATTTTCTGCCTTGATATTCTGGGATACAGGGCTGTGTGGAAGGGCCCAGAGTCAGGCCGTCGGACCTACAGATTTCCAGGTGGGCGTTATCTCAGAATTAAACAAAACCTTGCATTTAAAAGATTCATGAATTTTTGCTCATGCAGGGGTCTTGTAGCTCTAACCATAGGGAATGTGAAGGGCTGACTATAATTCTTTACATGTTCTTTATTTTAAATGACATATCTTAAATAAAAGGAAATCTTTCAACAACAATTTCTACAGGAGAAAGAAGAAACCCTGACCAAATCCCCCAAACACACCTTGATAATTAAACTGCTGTGATCTGATAATAAAAACCAAGTCTGAAGACAGTACATTTTAATTTATAATTGTTGAAATAAATATTATTCACTAAAAACACTTAGATCATAATTTTCAACTGTACAGCTACAGGATGAATGAAAATGTTAATCCAGATATTTTCAATGATCAATGTTTATGTTGTTTAACTATTAGACCATCTCAAGTAATCTCAAGAGATAGTAGAGGTGTTCCACTTTAGAAAGCAAAACCGATGTAGTATACCTATCACAATTTGGATAAACTGCCTCTTGTAGTTTGAATTCAATACAGGTACATCTCCATTTATGAAGAAGATATCTTTCTGGAAAACCAGCTTTGACCTGATTCCTCTTCTTTAGATTGCTGTATCAAATGTTTTTGTAGACATATTCTTGTCATAGGAGTTTCATATACAGTGCACCCTTGATATCTGCTGGGGTTTGGTTCCAGGACATCCTATGGATACTGAAATACTTGGATGCTCAAGTCTCATTATGGCATAGTACAAGGGTGTCATTTCTATAAATTGCAAATTCAAAGTTTGCTTTTTAGATTTGTTTTTTCTAATATTAGTATATTTAAGCTTTGAATGGTTAAAACCCATGGATACAAAAGACCATCTGCAGCTATATAGCATTGTAATTCTTGACACATTTCAGTTTGACAGACTATTAAATTGAGAAGGTGCTCTATGTGGGGTTGCCTTTGTTTATTTTTATTTATTTATTATTCAAACTTATATGCCGCCACTCCCCTGGGGCTCGGAGCGGCTTACAAGAACAGGCTAAAATCTAACACAATTTTAAAACAATTTAAAACAATTTAAAAACAATTTAAAAACAACAATATCAGACTGAAGACTGTTCGGAAGCTTCAAGTAGTCCAATGGGCGACAGCCAGATTCTTCACTGGAGTGGCATATAGGGAACACACAACTTCCCTGTTACGCCAGCTCCACTGGCTGCTAGTCTGCTCCAGAGCAGAATTCAAAGTGCTGGCTTTGGCATATAAAGCCCTAAACAGTTCTAGCCGAACTAACCTGTCCGAATGTATCTCTCTCTATGAACCACCCTGGAGGTTAAGATCATATGGGAGGGCCCTGCTCTCGATCCTACCCCCATTGTGACTGGTGGGGATGAGAGACAGGGCCTTCTCAGTGGTGGGACCAAGCCTCTGGAGAATAATTCAGTGCAACGAGCAGATATGAAATTAGTGCAACATGACTGGAATGGTTCCTGGACTACGACTTTGGCTCTATGTGGTTTTAATACTTGATTTTTAATGTATTGATGTTATTTTTTTAAAAAAACTTTTACAGTTTTAACATATATGCTTATTGTATTTATATGTTTATGTGGCATTGAATTGTTGCCAATTTGGGAAACTCCTCTGAGAGGGCAGGGTAAAAAATATATTAAATAAAAAAATAAAAGTGAGAAGGTTATCACTCAAATTAAATAAATAAATAAATAAACAATCTCATATTTTGATTACCAACAGTGTTTTACATTTAAGCAATACAATCAACAGCTCCAGTAGAGAGTGATGGTTAGTTCCTTCAGAAGGAAGCATAACCTAGATTTTTCTGGCATTTCCAGCACAATCTTGTACCGATAAAATGGGTAATGAGTTTTCTGTTGTGGCTTCTGCTATAGGGTGAGAAAACTCATCTCACGGAGTGTGGTGTGTGGTATTGGTGTGGGTAGGGAGAATAAAGGCATGGTTCCACTTCATCTATATCCTTCCCAGCCTCCCAAATGGGAGCTGATATAAACAAACAAACCAGAAACCAGACATGTCTGTGGAAGAGAGGAAAACAAGTTCAAACCACAGTATCCTCCACACCACCATTCTCTCAGCAATGTTTAGAAAAGATTGGAGTATTTTATACCAAAGCACCCAGCCCTCTGGACCACCTCCTTTTTAATAATGCATTCGGCAGATCTTCATTTCACCAGTAAAATTGGAGCTAGATGTGTCTAGATTAGAGGCACCAGTCGGCTAGATGTTCCTTCTGTTAGTACCTGAATGAAAACTGTGGAACACCTTTATCTGTGGAGGTGTGCCCCCCTCCCCAATATCTTTCACTACTAAGTGAAGATATATGTATGCCAACAGGCTTTTTTGCCTGCTGGATAATTTTCTTAGCTTTGGTAATGTTTAGATTGTTTTATCTATAAATCTCTGCCTCTGTATTTTTATTATATTTTAAAGTGAATCAGCCGGTTTATTTTGAGGTTGCTTTATCTTAAATTGTCATAAGCAGCTTTGAATGATTCACAGGAAGTAGAAGAATAGACTACACATTTCTGTAACTCAGGCAAAGGCAGCCTATGTGCCATTCTATAGTAAAAAGGTCTTCTAAACCATGCTGTAATGCCAACAACATATCGATGTGTCAAGCCATTATGTTCAAGGAGCAAAGTATTAATCCTAATTAATGAGTTCGCAAAAGGTCAGTGGCATGCTGTTGTTATATTCCAATTCAAGCATGCTGACCCCTTTAGTAATATATTTTCTACTTCCTCCTTACTGGGTTATACTCAGGGCCGTAGCCAGAAAAAAATTTCGGGAGGGGTTGAAATTTTTGGGTGGGGGGGTTTAAAATTTTGCGGGGGGGGGAGGGGTTTGAACAATTTCAGGGGAGGGGGGGTTGAAACCTGCCTCCTAGCTCACACTGAAGCAAAGAGCACAGCAGGGGGCAGAGCAGCCTTCAATAGCCTGCAGCTCCACCCCTGTCAACCACCTCCACCAAGTCTGGCCTCCTTAATGAGAGCATTCAACACCCTCCCCCCACCCACTTGGTTGCTTCGCTACATCGGCTATTGCTGCAAGTAATGACAGTGTGAATAAATTGTCAATATTTGCTTGAGATAGTGCTTGCAGTTCTGGAGGGACTCTTAATTTTTTGCGTCTCATAGACTTAGCATGGGGATTTGGTTAACCAGTTAAAATTCATGAGTAAACCAGATTTTTTAAAAAATCTGAAACATTTCGGGGGGGGGGTTGAACCCCTAAAACCCCCCCCTCGCTACAGGCCTGGTTATACCCTTCAGGTTGTATCTTCATTGTTCAATAGATGATCTTCCTCACAGATGTCCTGATTCATTAATAATCTGTTGAGGATGCTTTTTGTCATTGAGAGCTTCTATGATTTAACCAGACCGTTGGCAACTTGCTAGCTCCACAACAGGAAGCAAACCTTCAAAACTTTAAATACACAAGGCTAGTCTGAAACCATACCTCTTCACCTATTTCATCAAAAAACCACCGAACTAATATCTTCCTTTCACTCCATAATCCTTGCATATCTTACAAAAACATAGAAGTCTCTGGGTGGTGTTGAATGCCATTTGACATCTTCCACTTGAGTGAACTGTCACAGTGTTGTGAGCCATATGTAAATATACACAGATTTTATTATGCTAGTGGTTTTGACCAAAGAAAAAGAAGAGGTCCCAAACAAAAACAAGTGCGCACTACAGTACAGTGCTACAAAATGCATGTAACATATTTTCTAAAGCAAAGACCAAGCTTTTAATGTTTGTAAAGTTACCAAATGTATCTTTTATTTAATGCTAGCATGTTGCATTTTCAGCAACAGTTTTGTAGCCAACAATAACATAATTGCCACATGATTTTTTTTGTCTCCAATAATCCATTACAACCATCCCTTAGGAAACATCCCTTAGGAACTGTAATTTAAGATAAGACTGTCCCAATCTGATTAAACCATTATTCTAACCTTCTTCAATGTAAATGTGCTGCTTACGTATCCTTCCAATAATAATACAGTAAAATAATAAATGTAATAATAATAATATTGTGAAATAATGGAAATGTAATAATAACAATAATAAATAGAGTAAAATAATAAATGTAATGATAATAGAGTAAAATAACAAATGTAATAATAACAGCAATAATAAAGTAAGATAATAAATGTAATAATAATATATAGAGTAAAATAATAAATTTAATAAAAATAATAACAGAATAAAATAATAGATAACCTTGACTCAAGTATAAGCTGAGAGGGAATTTCTCAGCCTAAAAAAAGGGCTGAAAACTAGGCTTATACTCGAGTATATACAGTAAGTGCTTTTCAATAAATAGACCTGTGCGCATTCATTGTCATCAGCAATGCTCAAAATCAGAATTTGAGATTTAATGTCTCAAAAATTTGGGCAGCATTTTGTTTATTTTTTTAAAAAAATAAACCACCCTTTTACCCAAACAGTCATGATGTAGTCACTTGGACTTCAGATCAGGATTCAAATTCTCACTTGGCCAAGAAAACACAAGAAGGCACAAAACAACACCAAGCAGAGGGTTTTGTTTTTTTTTTTGCTTTAAGGAAACACAGCTTGGATTTTGTTTGGACTTGAGAGCACAAAACAAATCAAGCAGTTGTTTTATTTTGTTTTAAGGAAAAATAGCTTATGTTAGAAAAATAAATTCACATTCTTTTATTTTACAGGTTTCACAGACTGCTTAACATTTCATAACAACATCTACATACAACCATAAAATTTCAACTGCATATTCACAGACTGCTTAAATAATTGACCTGTTGAGTCATAAACAGGGCTGGATCAACCATTAAACAAAATAAGCCCATGCTTTGGGAAAGACGGTACCACATACATTTTCTCTTGCCAGATTTACCATGAACCTTATGGGGCAAAACTACAGATAGTACAAGATGAACTGAGTTTCACAACTTGGGGACTGCTTGTATTTTGCAATGAAGAAAAGTAGGAGGAAACATTTTAAATATAAAGTGGGAAGTAACTAAAAATAAACGTTTTCCATCTTACCGTAAGTTTCATTACATCTTTGAAGTTCTGAGGGCCTCTAAAGGCCTTAATCTCAGCCTGGTTAGAAGTGTCACAAGTTGCCCAAGTGCATCATGCTTGACAAAAGGATGCATCTACACCAGGCATTGGCAAACTTGTGCCCTCCAGGTGTTTTGGACTCCAACTCTCACAATTCCTAACAGCCTCAGGCACTTTCCTTTTCCCCCTGAGCTGCTTTCTCCTACTTTTCTTTGTTGCAAAGTACAGGCAGTCTCTGAGCTACAAACATTCGACTTACAAATGACTCCTAGTTAAGAATGGGGGTGAGACAACAGAAAGTGAGAGAAATCTAGTAGCTCTTCCAGCTGTTAGGAATTGTAGGAGTTGAAGTACAAAAAAACCTGGAGGGCTGAAAGTTTGCTCATGCCTGATCTACACTGTTGAATTAATGCAGTTTAGAATCAATTCAGCTGCCATGGAGCAAGGCGATGGGAGTCATAGCTGGGTGTGGCATCAGTCCTCTTAGGCAGGGAAAACCAAAGACTGTAAAAATACAGCACATAGGATTCCATAGTACCTAGGGCTCTTCCAGACAGGCCCTATATTTCAGGATCTTCAGGTTTTCTGTTTATCCCAGTTTATCTGGTAGTGTGGACTCATATAATCCAGTTTAAAGCAGAAAACCAGGGATTGGATCCTGAAATATAGGGCCTGTCTGGAAGGGCCCCTAGTGGTGGCAGTCCAAGTAGTGTCAAAGGGCAGTAATTCCGCAGTGTTGATTCCTAGTATCCAAGTGATAGTTCAAACCACTACGCCAGGGCTGTTTACTTTGGCAGAAAGGTGGGGTAGCTTTGAACAGAAAACAAACTGTGGAGGAGTTCAAATCTCAATTTCTACATTCCAGTGTAGGAAGGCGTGCTTCCTTGGGGAAAAAAATAAAGCTGTTTCTTCGGCCCCTTCTATACTGCCACATAATTTGGCAGTATATCCAGACAGGCTCTATATCTCAGGATCTGATCCCAGGTGTTCTGTTTATCCCAGATTATCTGGCAGTGCGGACTCATATAATCCAGTTTAAAGCAGAAATCCTGAGATCAGATCCTTTAATACAGGGCCTGTCTGGAAGGGCCCCCAGATTATTAAAACAGATAATCCCCATTATCTGCTTTGAACTGGATTATGTGAGTCTACACTGGCATATAATCCAATTCAAAGCAGATAATTTGAATTTTAAATGGCAGGGTAGAAGGAGCCTTAGTTTGGGTTGTTAAAGGGCAAAGGATCTATGGTTTCTTTCAGTATCTCACCCTATTGCAGGCATGAGGAAACTCAGGCCATCCAGGTGTTTTGGACTTCAACTCCAAAAGTCCAAAACACCTGGAGGGCCCAAGTTTGCCCATGCCTGCCCTACTGCCGAAGCCAGTGTTTCTCAACATGGGGGTCAGGACACCTGGAGGGGTCAAGGGAGGGAGGGGCGTGTCAGACGGGTAACGAAAGACCATCCGAAAACATAGTATTTTCTGTTGGTCATGGGGGTTCTGTGTAGGAAGTGTGGCCCAATTCTATCATTGTTGGAGTTCAGAATGCTCTTTGATTGTCGGTGAACTATAAATCTCAGCAACTACAACTCCAAAATGTCAAGGTCTATTTTCCCCAAACCCCACCAGTTTCATATTTGGGTATTACAAGAGTATCCGTGCCAAGTTTGGTCAGGATCCATTATTGCTCTCTGGATATAGGTGAACTACAACTCCCAAACTCAAGGTCAATGCCTACCAAACCCCTCCAGTATTTTCTGTTGGTCAAGGGAGTTGTGTGCCAAGTTTAGTTCAATTCCATCATTGGTGGTGTTCAAAATGCTTTTCAATTGTAGGTGAACTATAAATCCCAGCAACTACACCTCCTAAATGTCAGGGTCTATTCTCTGCAAACTCCACCAGTGTTCACATTTGGTCATAATGAGTATCTGTGCCAAGTTTGGTCTGGATCCATCATTGTTTGAGTCCACAGTGCTCTCGTGATGTAGGTGAACTACAACTCCCAAACTCAAGGTCGATGCCTACCAAACCCTTCCAGTATTTTCTGTGGGTCATGGGAGCTCTGTGTGCCAAATTTGGTTCAATTCCATCCTTGGTGGAGTTCAGAATGCTCTTTGATTTAGGTGAACTATAAATCCCAGCAACTACAACTCCCAAATGACAAAATCAATTCCCTCCAAACTTCACCAGTATTCAAATTTGGGCGTATTGTGTAATTTGGTCCATTGAATGAAAATATATCCTGCATATCCGATATTTACATGACGATTCATAACCGTAGCAAAATTACAGATGTGAAATAGTAACGAAAATAATTTTATGGTTGGGGGGGGGGTCACCACAACATGAGGAACTGTATTAGGAAGGTTGAGAACCTAAGGGGGGGGGGTATGTGTGGGGAAGGGAGTCAGGAAAGGGGCTCCTCTTGGGGCGGCGCGTTGCAGAGTTTGCCTGAAAGAGTCCTTCCTGGAAGCAGTCTTTCCCCAGAGGCTGACGCGGGTCACCTCGCCCACCTTGGCCCGTGTGAACGGGCCTCTCCCACTCCTTGTACACTCAGCYGCGAGGCAGGGCTGCGGCGGGCGTGTTAAACATGAAACAAAAYMCCGCGCACCTTTCTCTCTCTCTCTCTCTCTCTCTCTGCCCGACTCACCGGGGAGTTTCCTGCCAAGTAAGGAGAGGAGAAGAAGCGCTCATTAAAAGTCCTGGCAGGGAGGCAGCCAAGCCGGGGCCCCGCCCTTGCTACGAGGCGGAGACAGCCCGAGTCAGAGCCAGAGCTGGACTCGAGAGAAAGCAAAGACAAGGAAGAGAGGGAGGAAACAAGGACGCCTCCTCCTGTTGAGCCACTCGCGCCGCCACCTTTGCAGCCAGTCGGGAGGAGCTGCTCCTCGCCTCACCTGGTTGCCTTTCCGCCCAGGCGGCCTCTGCCTAGTGCCTTCTCGCCCTCAGAAATGGCCCCCCTCCAGCTCCTGGCCGGACTCCTGGTGAGTTGCTTTTTCCCTTTTGTGTCGGGAGGCTTTGGGGAAAAGAAGCGCCTCGAAGTGACCCCAGCAAAGCGACAACGACGCGGTCGAGTTAAGGCAGTTTGACACCACTTGGTGTTGCAATCTTAGGGCCCTTCCACACAGCCCATATCCCAGAATATCAAGGCAGAAAACCCCCACAATATCTGAGCATGGACTCAGCCAACCTGTGGCCCTTCTACACAGTCCTATATCCCAGAATATCAGGCCAGAAAATCCCACAATATCTCCTTTAACTGAGTTATCTCAGTCCACACTGAGATAATGTGAAATTTCCTGACTTAGAATTCTGGGATATAGGCCTCTGTGGAGGGGCCCCAAGTCCACACTCAGATAATGTGGGATTTCCTGCCTTAATCTGGGATATAAGCCTGTGTGGAAGGGCCCTGAGGCCCCTTCCACACAGCTGAATAAAATCCCACATTATCTGCTCTGAACTGGAATTAATGGCTGTATGGACTCCAATAATCCAGTTCAAAGCAGATATTGTGGGATTTTCTGCCTTGTTTTTCTGGGGTATATGGCTGTGTGGAAGGGCCTCCTGAGTTCACTGCCAGATGAATGCAGTTGGAGGCCGATTTAATTACCATGGCTCAATGCTATGGGATCCTGGGAGTTGTCCTTTTCCAAAATTTTGAGGGGTTTCGGCCCAAGAGGTGTGCTCATCCTTATACACAACCTTATATCCCAGGATATCAAGGCAACCCCCCCCCCCCCCCCCCCCGCAATATCTGCTTTGAACTGGGCTATCTGATTCCACACTCAGATAATGTGGGATTTTCTGCCTTGATATCCTGGGATATCGGGCTGTGTGGAAGGGCCCCTGGAATCATCCACATGGCAGCGGAGGGATGCGTCCAGTTTGACCCCGCTTGAGCTGCCACTGCATGGTTTTCAGCCTTCTCTTTATATTTGAAATGTTTCCTCCTACTTTTCTTGTTGCAAAGTACAGGCAGTTTCCGAGTAACAAACATCCAACTTACAAATGACCCCTGGTTAAAAACTAGGGTGAGACAACAGAAAGTGAGAGAAATCTACCCCTAGGAAGGGAAATTCACTCCTGAAAGAGTTGTTATCATGGGAAAAAGTGTCTCCTAGGGATGTGTGATCCATAAAAAAATGGTTCAAAAGTCATTACAAAACTGGGAGGCGTTGGCATTTCAAAAGATAATGAATGTTTCTTTTTTTGTTCAAGTTTAATTTAAATAATTACCTATAAGTATTAGGGCTGGGCGGTTTCGTTTCGTTAATTCGAAATTCATTAATAATTCGTTAATTTTTTCAATTACAAAACGATAACGAACCATTCTGGAGCAATTATTAAAAAAACGAATTTTCAAAAACGTTTTGTAAATGCTTCGTATTTCGATATTGTATTCGTTTCATTATTGTTTTGAGATTGTTTCGTTATTATTTCCGCATGTCTGGGCCAGTTTTATGGTTTAATTAGTGAAAAAAAATTATATCACACCAACAGTCAACAACAGAGGGAGAGGGAAGCTTCAGAAGGTTTTGGAGGTTTTTTAGCGTATTTCGCGGTCGCGTCCGCCATTAACGAATCGATTCGTTATTGTTTCGGAAATCGATTTGTTAATTTTTTACCATTTACGAAATTTCGTAAATATCGAACTTTTTAAAAGGAAAATTTTGTAATTATTTTAAATATCGAAACAAAAAACCCCCCCAAATACAAATCGATTTTAGAAACAAATTTTTCCGTTGTTACCCAGGCCTAATAAGTATATATAGAGTCCCATTTTGGTCAGTGAAATATTTCAACAGTGAAATATTTCAACATTTCAACAGGTTTATTCTCATGTCTGAGAATGGTGGGCAGTACAATCACATACTCCGTACAAATGTCAGGCTTAATAATAATAGTAATAATAATAATAATAATAATAATAATAACAACAACAACAACAGCAACTTTATTTTTAACCCACCTTCTCTCCTTGAAGGGACTCAGGGCAGCTTCTGCCTCACAAACTCTTAACTTGTAGGATTTCATAGCATTGAGCCATGGCAGCTAAAGTAATGTCAAACTGCATTATTTCTACAATATAGATGTAATTCTTTACAGGGTGGCTCTTGGGAAATAATGTTTATTTATATTAAAAAATTACAAATATGAAGGATTTATTACATGAGCAGAAAAACCCCCACCATGTTGTGTTGTTTTTCTGAACATTTTTGCTCATAGGCAAACGTTTCGAGGGACTTATCCTACTCAGTGTTAAAGTATGAGTTTTAAATTTACATATAATTGATATGCATAATTTCAATGTGTTTGGCTTGTTCTCTGCCTTTTAATATATTTCTGTTCAGCTCGTAAGGGGAGTTCCCTATAGGTGCAGCTAGGACAGAGAATGAATGTATATTATAATCTGTGTCCTTAGTGGCATTGAATTCTTGCCTTGTAAACCGCCTCGAGTCGCCGGAAGGCTGAGAGGGGCGCTATAGAAATATACTAAATAAAATAAATAAATCAATGCAGTTTGACACAACTTTAAATGCCATGTTTCAATGCTATGGAATTGTGGGAGTTGTAGTTTTACCAGAACTTTAGCCTTCTTTGCCAAAGAGTGCTGGTGCCTCACCAAACTATCAATTTTAGGATTCCATACTATTGAGCCATGGTAGGTAAAGTGTTGTCAAACAACATTCATTCTAAAGTGCAGATGCATCTCCAGATATCTTTGCATTATATAAATCTTTCAGCAATCTTTCAGCTTCCAAACAGAGTTTCTGTTCTGTGTTTTAAACTGTGTATTACCCCTGTCTGAGAAGCAGCTAAAACTAGGGACCCTTCTACACAGCTGTACAAATCCAGATTATTTGCTTTAAAATGGATTAGTGGCAGTGTAGATTAAGATAATCCAGTTCAAATCAGATAATGTGGGATTTTCTGCTTTGATAACCTAGATTATTTGGCAGTGTAGAAGGGGCCTAAGTGTCTATTTCGATACTTACTTTAGAAAATGCCATGTTTCTTTCTCTCCTGCACACAGCAAAGTTAGCCCATGCCTGATCTATACTGTAGTGCAGTGCAGTTTTACTGCTGTGATGCAATGCTAGAACAAATGATATATCCCAGTGTTCCAAAGCATTGCACCATGGCACTTAATGTGGTGCCAAGTTGCATCAATTCTACAGTGTAGATGTCCCCTTTTTCTCATGAGAAGAATGGGAGGACGATAAACTGGGGAAATATGCAAGGTATTTTTCCAGTAGGGACTTTCCTCCTTGGGCTCAGAGATTCACTCGGTTGCCTGGCTTTCGAGGAAGGGAATTGTCTGTTTACTTTGAGATCAGATAGCACCTTAGCTGCTGTTATTGTCCAGACAGGGATCCACTGATAAATAGCCATTTGTCCCCTTTCCCTGGCCTGTAACAAAAAAAGAGAAGAGAAGGGATCTCCCAAGAGCTAGGAATCTCTTTGGGATCTCCCCTTTGCAGGCTAATGCTGTGAGAAGTGAGATAAAGTAGTTTCACTGCACTGAGGTGTGTTCCACCATAATTGCAATATACATAAGGAAAAACAAAGAAAAGAGAACAAAAGTGTGTGTACAGCAATGATTGTACCGGTAGTTTGATGCTAAATGGTTTATTTTATGAGCTCTTGTGGCCGTCGGTCAGCTTCCTCAGAGGCATGTTTGCAGAATCTCTAGTGCCTCTGAAGAAATGAATTGAAATCCAGAAAAGCTCAGACCAAAACAAACTAACTTACTCTCATAGGTGCTGCAGTATTCCTCCGGCGTTTCTTTCTCTTTTTATGCAGAAAGAGCCTAAGATAGCAGTCCCTTTGAATTCAGACTAATAAATTGCTAGAAATTAGTATTATACCATGTTGTCTTGATGTAAAGAACTTTTTATAGGGTGTTGGATGCTATGGAATAATGTGAAAACAATATATTAAAATTGGCAATACCCCTTGGAAAAAGCTGTATTTGCCATCTTCTGGTTCGGATCATTGATTTGTTTGTTTTCCTGATACAGACTCCATTTGCACTGTAGAATTAATACGGTTCAATGCCACTTCAGTGGATGTGGGTAAATGCTATGGAATCATGAGGGTGTGGTTCTGCAAGGTCTTTCGCCTTCTTTGCCAAAGAGTACTGGTGTGTCACTAAACTACAAACTGCAGGATTCCATAGACCAGAGCAATGGCAGTTAAAGTGGCATTAAACTGCATTAATTCTACTTTGTAAATGAATCTATAGTCTCTCTTCTTTTTTCATGAAAATGACCTGACCTGAAATAGGTTGCATGCTGCATTAGTAAGATTGTTAATTTGCGTGCGCATTTTCAGTATTAGTACCAGATTGTTAATTTGCATGCATATTTTCAGATTAGAGCCAACAAGGTATTTATCTGAATTAACTGAATTTTGAAGAGGGGCAAGGTCAAGCCCTTGAGACAGAACAGCCTTTGTTCTTTTTAAATTCCTCTGCTGAATTTATGCAGTCTTTTGCAATTTGAAAATAGTTGTTTATGACTCTTGTAAGTTAGTTTTTGTTATCGAGATATTTTTAAAAATAGGCCTATAGGTGAATAGGCAATAAGTTTAGTCCCTGATGTCATTCCTTCTATAGCAAACTGCATCTATTTCTAACAAGTGAAGGCAATAGCTATAAGATTGCTTATTGCTAAGACAAAAGGAAAAAAAGCTATTTTTAATACAGGGAACATACAACCCCCTTTTACGTCAGTTCCACTGGCTGCTACTGAGCACAATTCAAAGTGCTGGTTTTAGCTTATAAAAGCCCTAAATGGTTCCAGCCAAGCTTACCTGTCCCAACGTATCTTTCTCTGTGAATAATTACGGAGTTTAAAATCATCTGGGGAGCCCCTGCTCTCAGTCACACCTGCTTCACAAGTGCAGTTGGTGAAGACGAGAGACAGGGCCTTCTCAGTGCCCTTCCACTCAGCCCTATATCCCAGAATATCAAGGCAGAAAA